CCGAGATATTCATTGAAAACTGGTCAATAGTCAAAATTGACTTATACCGTTTTACCATTTCGCTGCTGAATTACGCTGATGCGTAAAGCCGAGTTCAAATTCTATAAAAAATGTCTCAATAGAATGAGTTGTACAGAAAAATCGAATTCAATTCACTTTTTCCATAGAATATTTTCTATTGAACAATCCAGTAGAATCGGCCAAAAACTAAGAGAAATTTCCGTAGAAATCCAACAGAATTGTCTAGGTTTTTCTGTTAACTTTAGTCATCACCAAAATAATCCACAACTGATAAAAAAATAAATTAACTGACCCCCCCTTCCACAGTTTCTCCAAAAAAATCACACTGACCATTAAAACCTCCATTACCGCCACTGCAGCCACCAAAAAACCTATCAATTCGATGAAATACGTACCGTAAAACCCATCTCTATATAAAACGGAGTAAAAAGTTACACCCAAAGTACACCAACGTAAAAGCTATCCGATTAAAAAATATCTGGTGGCTTCCCTCATCCCCATAAATGAGATCGAACGATAAGAGGATCCTGGTATGACTATAGTGCAGCCTCTAATGATTCTCCGGGTCAGCGCACCATGTGGGTAAAAATCATAGTGTAGCCATGAGAGTGAGCTCTAAGTCAACGATCCCAGGAAGATACGTCCGATAAAATGCTGGGGGACGGCGAGGAGGAGGTGGTGGTGGGAAAAAGGGGGCAACGGGGAGGAAAAAAATGAAAATGGCTGCTGCCTACACTGGGCTATACATCGTCGTCTCGAAGATAATCAGGTCGGACTTTCCAACTTTCCAGCGTCATTACTATACCCAGGGCTCAGGGCTTCAAACCCCTCACCTCCGTCCAACGAGAAAAGAACATCAATAACCAATTTCGTAAAACCAATATCGCGAAAATTAGTTTCTTACGTTCATCCCCTCACCGCTGAGGCTCCAGCGGGTGTTGCACCCTATTCTCGTGTCCCTTAGTTCAATCTTAATGGCTCGTTTCCTCGGGGACCTTGTCCCGGGGTTTTTATACGGAATTTTTGATGGAAATAAAATTACCGGTGGTGGGACATTGGGGAACGGCTAGTTTGGGGTGGATGTGGGATTATAATATTAAAAATTACGTTAATTTCTGGTACAACTCTTGGAAATTTTGATCGAGTTCAAAATAGTTAAAATATAAAAACCTAGTGAATTCGCTAGATAATTTTATTGGATTTCTATTGAACGTTCTATTAGTTTTTTGTCGATTCTATTGAAATCTTCAATAGAAAGTATTCTATAGCAAAAGTCAATAGAATTCAATTTCTTTATTCAACTTATTCTATTGAGATATTTTCTACAGAATTCTCTTGGTTCAAATTTTCTGTTTTGTGTTGGATTTTCTCGATGAAAAGAAAAGAAAAATAGAATGGAAAAAACTTGGAAAATTTGAACCGAGGGAATTGTATAGAAAATATCTCAATAGAATATCGACTTTTTCTATAGGATATTTTCTATTGAACATTTCGTCACTAAAAAATCCGATTTTGATTGAAAAATCAATTGAACGATAACAAAGTTTTCATTCGGTAGTAAAATTTGAAAAAAACACTTGGAAAATTGGGGCCCAGGAATTTCTATAGGAAATGCCTCAACAGAATAAGTTTTTCTATAGAATATTTTCCACTGAAAAAAGCTGAGATAAGATGCTCATTATTTTTCAATAGAGTCAGCCAAAAATCAATAGAAAGTTCAACGGAATTCCAGCGGGTTTTCTATAAAATATACGCGTCACCAAAAAACTCCCTGAAATTCCATTTTTTCCCAACAGTGTAGATGCGAGGAAATTCTATAGAAAATATCTCAATAGAATATCGACTTTTTCTATAGGATATTTTCTATTGAACATTTCGTCACTAAAAAATCCGATTTTGATAGAAAAATCAATTGAACGATAACAAAGTTTTCATTCGGTAGCAAAATTTGAAAAAAACACTTGGAAAATGAGGGCCCAGGAATTTCTATAGGAAATGTCTCAACAGAATAAGTTTTTCTATAGAATATTTTCCACTGAAAAAAGCTGAGATAAGATGCTCATTATTTTTCAATAGAGTCAGCCAAAAATCAATAGAAAGTTCAACGGAATTCCAGCGGGTTTTCTATAAAATATACGCGTCACCAAAAAACTCCCTGAAATTCCATTTTTTCCCAACAGTGTAGATGCGAGGAAATTCTATAGAAAATATCTCAATAGAATATCGACTTTTTCTATAGGATATTTTCTATTGAACATTTCGTCACTAAAAAATCCGATTTTGATAGAAAAATCAATTGAACGATAACAAAGTTTTCATTCGGTAGCAAAATTTGAAAAAAACACTTGGAAAATTGGGGCCCAGGAATTTCTATAGGAAATGCCTCAACAGAATAAGTTTTTCTATAGAATATTTTCCACTGAAAAAAACTGAGATAAGATGCTCATTATTTTTCAATAGAGTCAGCAAAAAATCAATAGAAAGTTGAACAGAATTCCAGCGGGTTTTCTATAAAATATACGCGTCACCAAAAAACTGTCCATGAAATTCCATTTTTTCCCAACAGTGTAGAAGGCAGTCGACGAATAATAATATTTTTCATAACTAAAAAAACATTGAATGCATCCTTCACTCAGTAATATTTTCCCCCATGATTAATCTGTAGAAAATCTCCATATTATTAAAACTTTCATCGCCCCTCGAATTTTTTAGGGTTCCAGAAGGAATAAGGGAGTGGTTGGAGAGAATTACGAGGTTGGAGAGACGCCGTCGAGCGCTGACGAATGCCGGGTCTTTCGTCACCGTTGGCTGTACGATTTCGCCAGGGTCGTTAATCCTACACTCCCTCCTCACTCCCTCACGCTCCCCACTTATGGTTCTATTTCACTTTTTCATGAGTTCCTTTGATAACGAAATGCACGGGGGCAAGCAAAATGGGCGGGTATTCGCTTGGGTTGGAGTTATAAATGAGGAGTTCAGGGCTGATGCGCGATGAGTTGATGATCCTGCGGTTTTGGGGGTTTCAAGTTTTGGGTGAAGAGGTCAGGACTTACTTACGGGAATCCTAGAGAAATCTCTGCAGGGTTTTACGTGGGAAATGCGGAGATTATTTCTATAGAAATTCAATCTTCTGAGATTTTGTTTAAGAATTGTGATTCACGCACGAAAATATTTAACGAATTCGCTAAACAATTTCATTGGATTTCTATTGAATTTTCTATTAGTTTCTGGTCTACTTTATTGAAATGTTTAACAGAAAAGTTGATAGAAAAAGTCAATAGAATTCGATTTTTCGATACAGCTTATTCTATTGAGATATTTTCTATAGAATTTCCTCGCCTCAAATTTTCAGTGTTTTTTTCACTCCATTTTTCTTTTCTTTTAATCAATTCTATAGAAAAATATCTATAGAAAATTCTATAGAACATATTGCAATAGAATAAATTGTATAGAAAAACCAAATTCTATTGACTTTTTCTATAAAATATTTTGAATTGAACATTTCAATCATCCAAAAACTAATAGAAAGTTCAATAGTTCAAGTTTCCTGAATTCTGCGAAAAGGTCATCTTTCCCGTTGTTTCATTGTGCCCCTCTCTCCCTTAGAGTCTTAAGGATGTTCAACCTATCAAGTGGACAACTAAGTTGAAAAGAAGAAGAAAATTCACCAAATAAATCATTCATGTTACAAATCAGTAGCGAAGTGGTAAAACGGTATAACTCAATTTTGACTATTGACCAGTTTTGAATGAATATCTCGGAATCTAAGGGAGATAGCAAATTTTTTGTTACAACCTTTTTTGTAAAGCCGATTGAGAGCTATAACAAATGTAATCACGGAAATTTCGCTATCTTCCTTAGATTCGGAAATATTACTCAAAAACTTAACTGGGAGATGAGTCGACTTAAACCGTTTTACCACTTCGCTACTAAAATGATTTTTCTCATCAAATTAGAAGTGTTATGGCGTACTTTTCCAGTCTCAAAAATAATAATTAAAGAGAATGTTCATACTAAATAATGGAGGACTTCTGACTGCAGTGGTAACAGTCGAATTTTGATCGGGCAACATCCCGAGTGGAAATTCTGTTCAGGTCTCGATCAGAAACTGATCGAGTCCGATCCGAAATTCTGATCAGGCATGTTACGCCTCTGCCTTAGGTTTTTCCACTAGGGTTTCTCCGTCTTCCATCATTAGGCATTAATTAAATTTAATTTTTTGAGAGAAAAAATTTAGTAACTTCCTAGCCGGGAATCGAACCCGGGACCTCCCAATGTCGCGTCGGGTGCTCTTACCATGTGAGCTACCAGGACACTTACGAATTTCACTCTCAAATTGACTCATACCCGACTGGAAATTCTGTTCAGGTCTCGATCAGAAACTGATCAAGTCCGATCCGAAATTCTGATCAGGCATGTTACGCCTCTGCCTTAGGTTTTTCCACTAGGGTATTTTCAAACTCCTACAAGAAAGTTATGCAAGACATGTCATGCATTACCACGCAAAAATTTTCATCACCAAATCCCTCGAAACCCCGAAATCCCAAAAATATTCTTGATTGTAGAATATTCACCTCCGCCCCTGACAACTCCATCAGTTCGGCCCTTTATTGTCCCCTCCCCCCCCTCAACTGCTACGAAAATACAAAAAAATGAAATATACGGTATGAAGTGAGTGACATTGCCGTCACACCCACGAGACATACGAATTTTGCATTGGGAATCACAATCGACAGGCGCGGGCGTTAAATTTCGGGTGAATTTATCGAGTCCGCTAAAAAAAGGTCCTTAAAAAAACTGGAGCGATGGACAGATACGTCTGAAACAAGGAATACATCGACGGAACTGTCCGCTAACGTCATTTCAGTTGTTCTCATGGAAATGTTTGCAATGCATTGGCGATAAAAAAGAAATTCCTTTGTCCCAATTTTTATATTTTTTTATTTGAGCATTTTCCGCCATTGTCTGGGGGAAGAGAAATGAAACGCGGTGTGCAGAGTGTCGCCAGGACGATTAATCTGGCGCAACCGAAGACCTGTGCTCGCCCGATTAAGCTCGAGAAACTAGTGAATGAGGAGCAATTAAATAGTTGTGTCAAGGGTGGTGCATACGCTTACAACTCACCCCGGCCTGTCACTGTGAGGGTCTGCTCCAGAAGGGTTTACGAGACTACATGTGCTACGAAAGTAATTTTCATTTTCTTTTCAATTTTATCACTCATAAAACGGGAATTATTTGGATTTTTGAATTTTTGACTGATTAATAAAATAGTTAAAAATTTGAATATCAAAATGGATGATTACTCAAATAATTAAATTTTAAGAGTGATGTTAACTAATTGAATACTTCAAAATTTAACGGTAATTATGATTCATAAATATGACCATCCCCGTCTTCTACAAGCCTAGTTATCCGAGAAAAATTTCCAAACTAATCCGACTGAAATTAAAGAAGTTCCTTGATAACGAATGTTTCCCCTGAAGCAATCTCAAAATATTTAACCCCACCTGACACTCACCTCCTCACATTATCCAACTAAAACTAGAAGTGGTCTCGGAGGGATTCAGTCGTCATACTCTTGTCCCACGTCGTCGCCTCGTTGTGAGAGGGACGACAGATGGCAACTGTAATTCGTGAATGTACCCGGGGAATTCTGGGTGATACCAGTGTATCCTCATTCGGAATTAGTTCCCTCGGTGTGATGTTATCAACGATGTGTCAATGCCTCGTGTAACAGTCCTTCAATTCCCATCAATACTAACATTCAACATTCAACATTCATTTTCATTTTAACGAGGATAATCATAATTCCGTTAAAATGGAGAACAAAATTTATCATTAATTAAATATTCATTGTTTTTTTAATTCATATATCCCGGTAACGACTGATTTTACGAGAATTTTTTTTTGTAGATGCTTGATACATCTAGAGAACTGATACATTTGAATTATATTTTTATTTCAATGAAAATGATTTTATCGTATGAAAAAATGTATCTCTCTATATTATAAAAATCCAAATCGACTTCTGGTGATAAAAATTTGGTACTCGAAATTAAGACTCCATAATTAAGGGTCACAAGGGTCACGAGGGTCAAAATAATGGTAATGAGGGTTAGAATAAGGGTCACGAGGTTCAGAATCAAGGTCGTGAGGGCCAAAATAAGGGCCACGAAGGTCGGATTAAGCGTCGTAAGGGTCAGAATAAGGGTCACGAGGTTCAGAATCAAGGTCATGAGGGCCAAAATAAGGGTCACGAGGGTCGGATTAAGCGTCGTAAGGGTCAGAATAAGGGTCACGAGAGTCGGATTAAGGGTCACGAGGTTCGGAATCAGGGTCACGAAGGTCGGAGTAAGCGTCGTAAGGGTCATAAGAGTCACGAGGTTGGCGAGTGGAGCGAGCAAGGGGCGTAGCCTCCAATGAAAAAAATATTAAGAAAGTAATTCATAGCAAATAAATCTTCTATGACATTTAAGTTGATGATTCATTTGCCCTGGCAATTATTTCATGTGAATCATGATCGTGATTAAGGAAACATTTACTTATGCTGAAAAAACAATTCATTAAATGTAAAAAATGCATTTAATTTAAGTAAACCATTTCTCCAAGTGCATTTGGGAACATTTTCTTTTTCTGTGTAAAATGTTTCTCGACATTTCCTCTTAAACTCAACACTTCCCCAGATAATCCAATAATTAACGAAAATGTCATATTTAACTTGTCTCATTTTACTTTTTAATTAACTATGCCAATTATACTAGATTTATAGCAAAATTTCAATTATTCCCAGGGATTTTCTGCTTCAATCGCAACAATTTTGTCTTCAATTTTATTAATTTTCCTTCCTCAGACAATTCCCTAATTAATACAAAAATTCTCTAACGTTTATCAACAATTTCCTTGCAATAAAATTGCCCTGCGAATAATTGCAATTTTCCTTTTGCAATTTCCTTCTCAATTTTCATTGATTTTCTATTTTTTACACTAGAATTAATTTTAACAAATCATTCCTGTGGATGCATTTAATAAAACTGTTTTTCTCTGCCAAAAGTGTCTTTCGATATTTTCCCTTGAACCTACTCCTTCCCCAGATAATTCCCTAATTAACAAAAATGTCATGTTTAACACGGCTCATTTCACTTTTCGTTCTCTCCCCCGTCCGCGATGACATTCTAATCAACTTTAAATTAACTTCGCAGATGTCAGACTGTCCGTCAGCCTTGCCCGCCCACCCCCGTCCCTCGAACCTCGTCGCCGGTCTGAAGTTACTGATGAAGGGGTCGATAGTCGCGGGCCTCATCTACTGGACGTCCGCCGAGGGGATATGGGGCGACTCCCGTCAGACCGAGAATCTCTACTACCGAGTGATGGCTACCGTGGCTCCTGTACTCCCAGACGTCCCCGGGATCGAGCAAGTAATCCCTTCACTCATTCAAATGATCGGGTAATGATCCCTCCGGGTACTAACTGAATAATGAAATTTATTTTCACGATGAAGCTGCCTCGCATTGATAAAATGACCCATAACGTTTACGAGGGGTACAACCGTGCTGTCGTGACTCTCATGCATGTTTTAATTACTGTACCCACGGTAATGTCACAAAAAATACGAGATATTGTGTGTCCGGCGGACGGGGAGATTGAGGATGACGATGCAACGAAATAAATTGAGGGAAAAAAAATGGTTTTGCTGTTTGGTTTTATGGATGTTTTAAAAAATTCTATTCAATCGCTCGGGGCTTTCTTGGTGAATGTTGGGTTTAGGGGAAAGTGACAAACGTTTTCTCTGTAGACGAGATAATTATTAATTAATTGTTGTGGATAATAACTAATTTGAGAACTTGAGATGTTCTTGCGAAAAAAATATGTCTCAAATTGAGTACAATTGTACTCAGTAATATTTAAATAAAAATGACTGGGAGTTAGAATTTTTTCTCCGATTTTTAGGGAAAATTTTTCTTGAAATTGGTTCAAAATCGATGAGATTGAAGTTGAGGGTCAATCGGTCGTAAGGGTCAAAGGATTCTTAAGGTGGCTTGGAGTTTAGAGTGTAATGTTTTGCGTGTCAGAAGACCCTCAGGACGTTTCGATTTAAGGGTCAAATGGACTGGGAGGTCAAACGACCTTTAAGGGCTTCGGGGGTTGAGGGTCAAATGGACTGAATGGTCAAACGACTCTTAACGACGTTTATATCTCGTATTTTTTGTAAAAAAATACGAGATATTGTGTGTCCGGCGGACAGGGAGATTGAGGATGACGATGCAACGAAATAAATTGAGGGAAAAAAAATGGTTTTGCTGTTTGGTTTTATGGATGTTTTAAAAAATTCTATTCAATCGCTCGGGGCTTTCTTGGTGAATGTTGGGTTTAGGGGAAAGTGACAAACGTTTTCTCTGTAGACGAGATAATTATCAATTAATTGTTGTGGATAATCACTTGAGAACTTAATTTGAGAACTTGAGATGTTCTTGAGAAAAAAATATGTCTCAAATTGAGTACAATTGTACTCAGTAATATTTAAATAGAAATGACTGGGAGTTGGAATTTTTTCTCCGATTTTTAGGGAAAATTTTTCTTGAAATTGGTTCAAAATCGATGAGATTGAAGTTGAGGGTCAATCGGTCGTAAGGGTCAAAGGATTCTTAAGGTGGCTTGGAGTTTAGAGTGTAATGTTTTGCGTGTCAGAAGACCCTCAGGACGTTTCGATTTAAGGGTCAAATGGACTGGGGGGTCAAACGACCTTTAAGGGCTTCGGGGGTTGAGGGTCAAATGGACTGAATGGTCAAACGACTCTTAACGGCGTTTAGATTTCAGGGTCAAACAATCAATAAGGACTTTTGACGTTGAGTCAAATGGTCGTAAGGGTGAAATGACCCTTAAGAACGTTGGAAGTTGCGGGTCAAATGGCCTAAAGGGTCAAACGACCCTTAACGGCGTTTGAAATTGAGCTCAAAGAATCTGTAAGAACTTTTGACGTTGAGAGTCAAATAATCATAAGGGTCAAGTGACCCTCAAAGACGTTTGGATTTGGGGGTCAAACAATCCGTAAGGACTTTGACATTGAGAGTCAAATGGTCGTAAGTGTCAAATGAGCGTTAAGGACGTTTAGATTTAAGGGTCACATGACCCTCAAGATCGTTTGGCTTTGAGAGTCGAATAGTCCTGAGGGTCTATCGCCCCTTAAGGACATCGGGAGTTGAGGGTCAAATGCACTGAAGGGTCAAACGACCCTTAACGACGTTTGAATTTGGGATCAAACAATCCGTAAGGACTTTTGACGTTGGGAATTAAATAATCGTAAGGGTTAAATGGACCCTCAACGACATTTGGATTTATGGGTCTGACGACCCTTAAGGAAAATAAAGAAATTGAGGTTCAAATGACCCGTCAGCACTTTTGAAGTTGAGGGTCAGATGGTCGTAAGGGTCAAATGACCCTTAAGGAGGTTTCCTAAAGGGCCTTAAGGATCAATTACCCTAGGTTTAAATAAAAATGATTGAAAAATAACACCTTTTTCTCTGATTTTTAGAGAAAATTCCGTTAAAATAAGCCAAATTCACAATTATTCGCAGGGATTTTCCCCCCTTAATCATAACAATTTTCTTTCTGTTTTTGTGAATCGTTAAATTAATTCCTCGATAATGACCAACCCCAAAAAAATACGAAAAGGTCTTTAGGGCTCTTAGGGTCACAGGAGTCAAGAAGGTCAAAATCTCTTATTTAATATTATTACGAAAGTCTCTTTGTTGTCCACTAACTTCTCCACCAAAAATGTCTCGTGACATTTTCCCCTAAACCCACTAGCTTCCAATTCCCAATAAATATTCAAAGCACAGTAGCTGATGGTAAAAGATATATTTACCACATGTCCCACCTATTTCGTTTTTATCATTTTATTTTCATCCACAAAACGTATCTCCTGCGAAAAAGAAACCCCACGGAAGAGGGAAGATGTGAGAAGTACGACTTCTCGAGACAGGAGTACAAGGTGAATGCCACACTGCGAGATTAGAATTCCTCACGAGTTTTATTCATTTTTTTTCCTCTTTCCACTTCTTCCACAGTAGCAAGAGCACTCTGGAGATCTCCTAGGGGCTGCATCTTAAACGATTCTCACGACACGTCAACGTCTGGCTCATCTTATCTCCCTGTGTTACGTCCGGTGTCTCCACGATCCCTTATTTCCTAAGCATAGAAAATACAGAATAAAAAGGAAGAGGGAGGAGGAAAACATTGACGAGCGGGAAAAAAACAATGGGAAACGAGAAACCCACATCAAACTGTCGACTTGGCACCTCTGGAGGTAATTCTCATCATATTGCGTGGCGATTCGGGGAATTGAAAATGAATTGAATGAAGATTTGATTGTGAAAATGGTGGAAAGTGATGAGTTGATCGATGTTCTCTTGAGAATTTACTAAATTATCTACGGAGGGGTGGTTTTAAGAGAAAAAAGCGAGAGATATTTTTTGTAGGAAATTTCATTGACTATAAAAAAGATCTGTTGACATTTTGCAATAAATGGTTAATGAGGTAATTTAGCAGTTAACACAGCTAGAAAATACATTTCATCGATTTAAATATGTAATATTTGATGATTGTGTAATTATCTCGGTAAATATCGAATGGAGAAAACGTCAGAAGCTCATTCTGGGGGAAATTTCCATCTGCTACAAAATTAGGGGACAGCAGGGCGAAATAATAAAACACTTCCGAATTTTTGTTGTTTCTAGTTGAGGGTCAAATGGTGTTGAGGATTAAATAGCCTTCAAAGACATTTGAAGTTGAGGGTTAAATGATTTCAAAACACCCTTAAGGATGTTTGTAATTGGGGATGAATTGGTCTTGAGCGTCAAACGACGCTCGAGGACGTTTGGAATTGAGGGTGAAATGGTCTTAAAGGTGAAACAATCCTTAAGAATGATGGAATTAAAGGTCAAATAGCCTTGAGGGTCAAAGGACGCTCAAAGACGTTTGAAGTTGAGGGTCAAATGATTTCCAGGGTCAAATCATTCTTAAAAATGTTCGTAATTGGGAGTAAAATGATCTTGAGTGTCAAAGGACGTTTAAGGACGCTTGAAGTTGAGGGTCAACTGATCTTGAGGGTCGAACGACCCTCAAAGACGTTTGAAGTTGAGGATCAAAGGATTTCCAGGGTGAAATCACTTTTCAGGATGTTTGTAGTTGAGGATCAAATGGTCTTGAGGGTCAAACGAGTCTTAACGACGTTTGGAATTGGGGGGGAAATGGTCTGAAGGTTCAAAAAATCCTTAAGGAAATTTGGAATTAAGGGTCAAATGGTTTTGAGGGTCAATGGATGCTTAAGAGCGTTTGAAGTTGAGGGTCAAATGATTTCCGGGGTCAAATCATTCTTAAAAATGTTCGTAATTGGGAGTAAAATGATCTTGAGTGTCAAAGGACGTTGAAGGACGCTTGAAGTTGAGGGTCAACTGATCTTGAGGGTCGAACGACCCTCAAAGACGTTTGAAATTGAGGATCAAAGGATTTCCAGGGTGAAATCACTTTTCAGGATGTTTGTAGGTGAGGATCAAATGGTCTTGAGGGTCAAACGAGTCTTAAGGACGTTTGGAATTGGGGGGGAAATGGTCTGAAGGTTCAAAAAATCCTTAAGGAAATTTGGAATTAAGGGTCAAATGGTTTTGAGGGTCAATGGATGCTTAAGAGCGTTTGAAGTTGAGGGTCAAATGGTTTTGACGATCAAACGACGTTTGTAATTAAGGTTCAAATGGTCTTGAGGGTCGAGCGACCCTCAAGGAGGTTTGGAGTTGAAGGTCAAATGGTGAATCGACCCTTGAGAACGTCGGTAATTAAGGGTCAAATGATATTGTGGGTCAAACGACTCCTAATGTCTGTAATTAAGGGTCAAATGGTTTTGTGGGTCAAACGACCTTCAAAAACGTTTGGAACCGAAGCTAAAATGATCTTAATGATCGAGCGGGTTACAGTAGAGTGCCCACGAAGGGTCATTTGACCCTTAATCCTGCACGTCTTCAAGAGTCGTTTGATCCTTTACTAAAAACAAACAAAAAGTTTTCAGAATTGCGTCAAATAGGCGTTTTTCCCATGCTGCATTTTGCCTCGCCCATTAACCAGATAATTGAAAAACTCAAAAAACATTTTCCAAAAAATAAGTAGTATTGATAAAAATATGCAATAGACGCTAATTAATTTATTAAAAAATAAAGAGTGAGGAAGATTGAAATGAGAGACAATAAGTGGCAGTTTGACAGTTAATAGTTTATTACAATTAAAACTTTATATATTATATACATATGAAGTGATTTCGAGACGATATGGAGTCGGATATGAAGGCGTCAAGAGGTCAACAAGTCTCAAGTAAGTTCTATTTACAAACAAAATCCTCAATTTAGCCCCAATTTTACTCTTTGTTTTATCGATTTTCAATCGAATATTGACGCTTCGATCGCCCAAAAGGATGCAACGAGTGTTTTTCTCTTAATTAAAATGTCTTTAGTCTTTTCTCAGAGTTGTCTCATTCAGTTCGATATCTCGTAACGATTATATACAACAATATTCTAATGATACCTAAATTACTAACCAGTTTTCACTCGTAAAATTGTCATTCTTCGGTTTTACACTGACGTAAATCCACGATCAGTCATTGTTCCACTTCTTTTATCATTC